TATAGGGGAGAGTGGGGAAAGATGCCCAGGGTTTGACTATGTCATATATTATTCGAAAATGATGATTGGAAAGCCAAAACTTGGAGTTTCAACGGAAGCCGACATCATTTTTCTCCAAAAATATCAGACTTTCGTGCCTAAAATATGATAACTTTTTTTGCTATTAAGCATTTTCCTGAAGAAGTGAAAGGGGGCATCTTACCCCACAGGGTGGAAAAGACGCCCCCTGGCGTTGGGTAAGATGCCCCCTGCACTAAAAGTGACATAAATAGGCACGTGAATCGCCTGAACGAATCAGTAGTCCCTTCGAGCCTGCAGTAGACACCAAACGTCATCGTAAGGGCCCTCAAAAGTAGTCGTAAGGGGCTTCAGAGGTCATCGTTAGGGCCATCGTAGTCCAGCGTGGCCAAACAAGCCTCCGTGGTGGCGTTTGGAGACCACTGTGGGGCCCTTATAGGTCTTCATGATGCTTGAGGGCTCTCGAGCCCATCGTGGGGACCTCGGATGCCAGCGCGGCCCGTGGAGCCAACGTGGGAGCCCTCAAAGGATGTCGTGAGGGGCCCTGGAACCAATAATGGGGCCCACAGAGGCCGTCGTGAGGGCTCTCAGAGTCAGATGCCGCCCAAAAAGTCGCTGTGTGGGCCGAGAGACCGGCATGGGGAGCACCCGACCGTACCGGACTCTCAATAGTCCCAGATCGGCTTTTGTCTCTCATCACAATTATGTAATAAATGATTTGACGGGTTGCTTGAAGGACAGCCTACGGATTTAGGGGGGCGTCTTTCCCCATCAGGACAGGGGGCATCTTACCCCAAGGTACCGAAGTAACATTAAATCAGCACAATTTGTTAGCCATAAAACTACAATCTGAAACAAACTGTTTGGGACACAGTACACGCATGTTAATGTATCACGACTATAGCAAGGGACGCAAAAATTATCTACCTTCTTTGATATTTACAATGTTTTGACGCCAAAATATTTTTTGAAAGCAGCAAATAAAAAACATGCAATCACCAGCCAGCCGTTGCCCAACTGAGCTTCGCAAATTTTTGAGCAGTTAACAAGGCAGGCTTCCGCTTTACGCTAAGAACATTAATTTCCAGGTTCGATTCTTTGTTTCCCCGCTAGAGGGGGTGGGGCGTCTTTCCCACCCTGGGCATCTTACCCCACTCTCCCCTAGTGGGTGTCAAGGTCACCTGAAGGTCAAATCAGGTTAATGATATTCAAAGACCGTGGTTCACTTTTCGAGTGCTACATTATTTTGAGATAGATTTTGGAGCTGATTTCGAATTTAGAAATCATTTGAACATTAACGACGTAGTGGTGCATTCGTAGCATGTTACGAAGCTGTCAGTGGTGGTTGATTGATACTATGGATAGCTGACAGGACGCCTACTGGTTGACCTGACCCGACCCGACAAGGCCTAAATGCATGAAGACATCATCTGTCGTCAAGTCTAACATGAAATTCGTGATCGAAACCCCAAAAAGCCCTATTACAACTTCACTTTGCAAAGTTCTAGCAGGTCCCGATTTTCTCGACTTTTGGGTCCTATACCTGACCTGGAAGGTCAAAAAATGAACTAGGACCTTAAACTTGGGTATCTCCGGCTTCCTCTCGTCGAGGGCAGCACGCTCGTTTTTCTCTACGAAGCATTAGCTCGATCAGGGGCCGAACGGCAAGGGGGTCCAATGGACGTCCCCCCCCCATATACGTTAGACGCTGTCAAAACACCACTATGGACTAGGGTTAAGTTTCACCCCTGACAATCGAACGTCTGCCGCACATCCGAGTCGCTGTCAGCCACACGTCTGGAGTCTGGGGGCTGTGGCTGATAGTTGTCTGTGGCCTGTATGGTCTCCCTCATTTCCTTTATATTATATTTCCTCAAACATTGCAACAGATTAATTAGATGGCGACATCACCTACAACAAGATAACCGGCATTCAGCATCATTGGTATCACTTAAGACCCATCATTTGTAGCCGCTAAAGTCATGTTTTTCTCGCGTAGGAGAAAGTATAACATATTTGTATGGCGTCAAGCTTCCACAACAATATCTAAAGAAAATCAGATTACCTAAAGAACTAACTTCGGGCGACCTAGCCACTGAAAGCATGCAGAACAGTGCAGCGCAGACCGATTAACGCCTGACAACTTTGAGCCAGGTTCCACCCTTTTCCTGGGTTTGCGTGAACCCGGGATCCAGGACCGGCTCCATCTCTCCGGACTTGGGACCCGTGACCAGCGAGTACTTCCTCAGCAGCGCCACCAGTGCCACCTTCGCCTGCAGCAGCGCGAACCGCATGCCGATGCAGTTGCGCGGTCCCTGACCGAACGGCAGGTAGGTGTACGAGTTCCGTGCCTCCTTGTTGTTAGACAGGAACCTCTCCGGATCGAAGGACTCCGGGTTCGGGTAGAGATCTGCGTCGTGCTGCATAGAGTACGGCATCATGTACACAATGCTGTTTGCTGGCAGAACTGCGTCCGTCCCAGGGATGGGGTAGTCGCGAGTCGAGCATCGAGTCAGTTGCATCAGGGGATACATCCTTAGGGTCTCCGTCAGGACGCACTCAAGGTACGGCATGCCGCTGTTGACTTTGTCGAAGGTGATGGAGTCCTTGTCGGACTTCAGCACCTCATCTATCTCAGCCTGGACGCGTTCCTGCACCTCTGGGTGAAAAGCGAGCTCACGCGCTGCCCACGTCAGAGCGTTTGATGTGGTGTCGTTCCCGGCGAAGAAGAACAGAAGACACTGAGCCGTGATTTCGTCGTCGGTGAGCTTGCGCGCCTGACTGTCGTCCCGACGTGAGTCGATGAGCAGCTGAAGGTAGTCGTTGCGGCGCCGTTCGGGGTGCTCCTCTCGCTCCTTGATAGTTCTCCTTGAGATGTCGACAAAGAACTCCAGGGCGTTGTTCCCAAATATATAAGAGGTGAAATCGAAGCGCTTCCTTATAAAGGATGGCAGGTAAGAAACGCTCATGAAGATCAGGATCTTGTACATGGGTGGAGGTTTTCTCAGCAGCACGCCTTTCTTCGCGATCGCTGACTCCGGATTGCGGATGGAGTCGGCTTCCAGACCAAACGCTACCGACGCTATTGTGTCCATGGTGTATCTCGCAAACACGTCCTTGACGTTGATCTCTCCATCCTTCTGGGACTCCTTGAACATTTGGTCTGCGAGGGTGTTTGAAAGCTCCTCCAAAAGGGTTGTCATGCTGCGGATTTTCCCAGTAGAAAAAGTAGGAGTGGATATATTTCGGACATCTTTCCATTCCTGACCCCTCATGTTGGTCATCATCTTCGAGAAGACACTCTCGCTGTTACTAAGAGAGGCTGGCTGCCTCACTGAAAATGTTTCAAAGTCCTTAACCATGACATTCTTGATCATTTCTTGATCGCTGATTGCCAGAGCAGGGCCCATCCAGTCGATCATGGCCAAACACCCTCCAGCCTTCTTTGATTCGTCATAGAGCCTTGCGTTTGTCTGATAAAACGGTGTTTTGTAGAAGTCGAATCCCGCGTTTCCCATGGGGAAACGATACGGCAGATTGGCGATACCCTTCCCCTTCCAGAAGTTCTTGTGGCGCGTCACATGACGGTATACCAGCGTCAGGAGCAGCACCACGAGACCGATGGTCACCGGGCTGAACACCAGGGATGCCAGCCACCCGAGCCAGCCGAGAACCGTCGACAACATGGCTGACACACCGTGATCAGGTCGCACGGCGGGCAGGGCGGTGAAGCCAAGTCTCCTCTCTCACAGACGTGGTGGCACGGTAGACGGGCAGGAGCGTGCACCACCGTCCCAGCCGGCCTCTGGTGGTCCACTGAGGCCAGTCGGTGCGATGCGCAGCGGGAGGCGGCAGCAATGAGTCACAGAGCCTATCGGCAAGGTCACCGCACCCCGCCCCCACCACCGGCTTCGAGGGAGATGGAGATGCAAAACCTGTGTACTCGCTGACGTGGTATATGTATAACTAAAGTGTAACAAAAATTGGTGCGAATGTTATTACCTGAATCCATATACCTACATATTATTTCTAGAATTTTTGACCATGAAAAAGCTGCTACACGTGTATTGGTATGAGGTCACATAAGGTAATGCTCAAGATTGCAATTCGCCTGCCATTCAAATTTTGTTTTCTTTAAAAAGATGTTGAATGCATGACTTCAGCAACGAAGTTTTAGCACTGAATGCTTACATACCTGCTCTATTTCTTCTTTATTTTGCATAATTATCACGACGTTTCACTGCCAATCAAAATTTACCACAATGTGTGTGCAAAGGTAATACTTGCTGTTGCTCGGCAGCTTTCATAGTGCGCCAAAAGCAGTGGATGGGGCTGCTGGGTGACGTCAGAGTATTGTCTGAAGCCCTGCGCAGGCTGTGGCCTATCGGTGGTCAGAGGTCAGTGACGTTCTTATTGGTGGTGGCGGTTGGTCATTTCGTCAACGATGCGGTGCCTGGGACCTGACTTTGGCTAGAAATATCAGCTGTGTGTGCTTAAACTTCGTTTGGCTATCGCATTCGCAACTAAACGGAAACTTCACTTATTGAAGAAATAATAAGAAATCGGTGATGAATAGTCGCAGGTTTTGGGACTCCCATCAAGTTCGCACCCGAAAGAGCACACATTTACAACGCCCATTGCGAAAGAAGACATCAAGCTTTCTACCTTAAGGTATAGCGTGCGTAATATTGATATAATCCAGAATTGACAGTTATTCAAATATACCAATATCCGGTGCCGATATTACGGAAAACTTAATATGTTAACATTGCAGAAGTTGTAACATTTTATGACATGATCCAGCAGCGCCGACTCGTCGAACAGACGTATCGATAAGGTGGGCACATAGGGCACCTTGTTATCAAGAAACAGTGCTAATCATTCCCTGACCACGGGAAGGTGTGGCGGGTGGCGACCTTGCTGATTAGCACGGCTGTATAAGAGCTCTCTCTCTCTCTCTTCGCTATGACCGTATCAAGTCACCATCGGCCGGCGGCGACGTTTGTGTGCTTTCCTGCGCTTCTACGCGGCATCGGTTAGAGAGGACGCATAGTTTTACCGTCCTGTCTAAAACTCGTGCGACCTGATCACAGTGTCTGTCAGTCATGTTGTCGGCGTGTCTCGGCTGGCTCGGCTGGCTGGCGTCCCTGGTGTTCAGCCCGGTGACAATCGGTCTCGTGGTGCTGCTCCTGACGCTGATCTACCGCTATCTGACGCGCCACAAGAACTTCTGGAAGGGGAAGGGTATCGCCAACAAGCCGTACCGCTTCCCCATGGGAAACTGCCGGATTGGAGTTCTTTAAAACACCTTTCTATGAGGGCTGTGCAAAACTATATGAAGAGGCGAAAAAGGCAGGAGGATGCTTGGGTATCATCGACTGGGGAGGCCCTGGAATAGTGGTGAGTGATCCAGAGCTGATCAAAAATATTCTGGTCAAGGACTTTGAAACGTTCCCGTTCCGGCGTCCAGACTTTTTCAGTTCTGTTTCGGGCAGCGTTTTTTCGAAGATGATGTCAAGCCTCACTGGACAGGAATGGAAAGATGTGAGAAGCATATCCACTCCATCCTTTTCTACCGGGAAAATCCGTGGCATGACAGTCATTTTAGAAGAGCTTTCCAACACTCTAGCAGATCAGATGTTTAAGGAGTCCCAGAAAGACGGAGAGGTAAATGTGAAGGAATTGTTTGCTAGACTCACCATGGACACTATAGCGTCAGTAGCGTTTGGTCTGGATGCCGATTCCATCCGCAATCCAGAGTCGACCATCGCCAAGAAGGCACAATTGCTCAGGAGTCCACTGACACCTCTGAGCATGTTTGCCCTTATGAGTTATATCATAATGCCGTCCTTCATCAAGAAACGACTTGATCCGACAAGCATTGTGGTTAACAAGGAGGCCATCGACTTTTTCGTGAACATCTCTAAACGTACTATCAAGGAACGAGAGGAGCACCCGGAACGTCGTCGCAATGACTACCTTCAGCTGCTCATCGACTCACGTCGGGATGACAGTCAGGCGCGCAAGCTCACCGACGACGAAATCACGGCTCAGTGCGTCTTGTTCTTCTTTGCAGGAAGCGATACCACTTCAAACGTTCTGGCGTGGGCTGCGCGTCAGCTTGCATTCCATCCTGAAATGCAAGAACGAGTCCAAGCCGAGATAGACGAAGCACTGCCATCTAGTGACGACTCCATCGCCTTCGACAAAGTCAACAGCGGCATGCCGTACCTTGAGAGCGTCCTGACGGAGACCCTGAGGATGTACCCCCTGGCGCAGCTGACGCGCTGCTCGACTCGCGACTACCCCATTCCTGGCACGGACGCAGTTCTGCCAGCCAACAGCATTGTGTACATGTTTCCTCTAGCCATGCAGCACGACGCAGATCTCTACCCGAACCCGGAGTCCTTCAACCCGGATCGGTTTCTGACCACAGGCAAAGAGATGCGCAACTCGTACACCTACCTGCCGTTCGGTCAGGGACCGCGCAACTGCATCGGCATGCGGTTCGCGCTGCTGCAGGCGAAGGTGGCACTGGTGGCGCTGCTGAGGAAGTACTCGCTGGTGACGGGCCCAAAGTCCGGGAAGATGGAGCCGGTGCTGGACCCTCGGCTTGCGCAGACCCAGGAGAAGGGCAGCACCTGGCTCAAGGTGGTGCGACGCTGATTGCTTGGTGCCAAGTCTGGGCTTTTGCCTCAGGGAAGTTAGAAGATCACTTTTATGGATTATATTTCATCTCTGAGGATGATTAGTGATTATGTTGTTGCAATTGGGCCGTGCAAATATTATGGTTATTGCCGTTTTGGAATGTCGCATTTGAATATATGTTAGCTATCACGAAGTGATTCAAAACTGAATAAAATAAGGGCAGAATAAACAAAATAAAACATCCACATTATTATTATTATTGTTATTATTAAATCGTGTATTCCACTAACCACAAGCATAAAGTGGGCGTTACAGTGGAAAATGGCCAATTCCAACACGTCTGTTCATGCGGTTAACAGTGATGGTTGGTACGTTTAACGGTACACTGCAGGGCACATACGAGTACATTCGCACACATTGGGTGAAACGTGATCATCAGTTGTCAGTGTCTGCTTTTGCTAGGAGGTACTTTTCAATTCACATTTTGAGGCATTCCTCATTCTAGTGGGCAAACTATTCCATAATTCAGAGCCATGATATGAAAATTAATATTTAATAAAATCTGTTCGCGGAGCAACCAGATCTAGGTTCTCCGACTGTCTTGTCTCACGGTAAGATCTTCTAGTTAAAAGGCCACCGTCTATGTGCACATCAGCACATGCGCTGATCCATGCTTTCGTGAAACATTAGACGGTGGTGGCCTTTTTATTCCTTTTTGTTATAACCTGACTAACGGTTTACACAGCCAAAACATAACTCTTAATTTGTAAGTTTTATCTCAGCTAAATGACTGATCATATCAAATTGTGCCATGACTTGGTGTTTGTTTGAAGGAGAATCGAAGATCAGCTCAAGGCAAGGTCATGTAACTAAGGGCGGAAATTACTTGTGATAAGAGAATCACTTTTGTTGACGGATACAGCCACTGTTTTTGGTTTATATATTTTTAATTGCTCTTTATAATTGTTATTTTTTACTCGCTCAACATCAGGCTTGTCGACACGAGGAGCAAAGAGGGTTGTTATGGTCAGGGGGCAGATATCCGTGCTGATAGTTGGGGCAGTGGTCAGGGAGGATCAGCCTGCATATGTATTAATGTCGATGGGAAGTGGTCGACTACTAATGAAATGGGCACGTAGCGGCCAACTGTGTCAGTGCTAACAGCGAGCGCCGAGTAGCCGCCTCTGAATATAAATCTCGGCAGCGAGCTCCCCCGTCCCGAACTCACCCGTACGCCGAACCGTTGATGTTCTCGGCGCGCACCTTAAAGTTGTCGAAGACCAGGCGCACCTGCTCGTTACGCTGCGTTTCGAACGTGTACTCGCATGCGGTGGCTGAAGGGTAGTTGGCCGGATGGCGAGGTGAGTTGAAGTCGCCCCGCTTCCCGGCCGCTGAGTTGTAGGTGAACCGGCAGCTGCCGTCGGGGGCGGCGGTACCCGGAATCAGGTACTCTGACGGCAGGTAGAGGTGGTCAGATTGGCACTCCGTCGGGAGGTAGAGGTGGTCAGATTGGTACTCTGTCGGGAGGTAAATGTGGTCAGATTGGTATTCTGTCGGCAGGTAGGGTTGTCAGATTGGTACTCTGACGGCAGGTAGGGGTTGTCAGATTGGTACCCTGTCGGGAGGTAGAGGTGGTCAGATTGGTACCCTGTCGGGAGGTAGAGGTGGTCAGATTGGTATTCTGTCGACAGGTAGGGGTTGTCAGATTGGTAGCCTGTCGGGAGGTGGAGGTGGTTAGAAAGGTACTCTGTCGGGAGGTAGAGGTGGTTAGAAAAGAACTCTTTCGGGAGGTAGAGGTGGTCAGATTGGTATTCTGTCGGGAGGCCTCTCCTTCCCATCCTGCCACCTATCACTAACGCCCAGTCCTTTGACACCGGTCGTCACAGAGCGCTGCCCTCGGCGCCGGCGCCTTTACATCTATTGAGAGCGGTCTGCGCGGTGGCGGGCAGCGGCTGCGAGGCTGTGGGCGGCACCCAGTGTGATTGTGCGGCGCCCCGAGTTAAGTGCTCCGGCACTTTTGCGCCAATCGAGGCGACACTGATTGTTTGTTTCGAATGAATGTGTTAAATATATGAGATGTGATGAGATGAGGTAGAGGTGGTTAGATTGGTACTCTGTCGGGAGGTAGGGGTTGTCAGATTGGTATCCTATCGGGAGGTAGAGGTGGTTAGAAAGGTACTCTATCGTCTGGTAGAGGTTGTCAGATTGGTACTCTGTCGGAAGGCAGAGGTGGTTAGATATTTAGGTACTCTGTTGGCGGGTTCGGGTGGCTAAATTGGTACTTTTTCGGGCGGTAAAGGTAGAAAAATCCCTCAATCAAGGTGTCTTTTCAACATCATCAACAGTTGATTAATCCGATTTTAGTCAAAGTCATCGCATGCCAACTTGATAGAACGGTCATCAGCTGCAGCCCACCTGTCTCGAATTTGAAGTTGGCCTTGAAGCCGCTGCCTTGCGTGGCTCCGCTGCTGAAGACCAGCGTCAGCCGAGCGCCGTTCGAGCGCACCGACTCGGGCACCTGGCGGCCGCACAGCTCACGGTCGAACTTGTCGAACGCCTCCTTCACCTCCTGACCGCGCAGGTAGATGCGCACGTAGCCGCCGTCGCACCTGAGGAAGACGAGGGGGTGAGCTCGTGTCCTGACCGCGCAGGTAGATGCGCACGTAGCCGCCGTCACACCTGAGGAAGACGAGGGGGTGAGCTCGTGTCCTGACCGCGCAGGTAGATGCGCACGTAGCCGCCGTCGCACCTGAGGAAGACGAGGGGGTGAGCTCGTGTCCTGACCGCGCAGGTAGATGCGCACGTAGCCGCCGTCACACCTGAGGAAGACGAGGGGGTGAGCTCGTGTCCTGACCGCGCAGGTAGATGCGCACGTAGCCGCCGTCGCACCTGGGGAAGACGAGGGGGTGAGCTCGTGTCCTGACCGCGCAGGTAGATGCGCACGTAGCCGCCGTCACACCTGGGGAAGACGAGGGGGTGAGCTCGTGTACTGACCGCGCAGGTAGATGCGCACGTAGCCGCCGTCACACCTGAGGAAGACGAGGGGGTGAGCTCGTGTCCTGACCGCGCAGATAGATGCGCACGTAGCCGCCGTCACACCTGGGGAAGACGAGGGGGTGAGCTAGTGTCCTGACCGCGCAGGTAGATGCGCACGTAGCCACCGTCGCACCTGGGGAAGACGAGGGGGTGAGCTCGTGTCCTGACCGCGCAGGTAGATGCGCACGTAGCCACCGTCGCACCTGAGGAAGACGAGGGGGTGAGCTCGTGTCCTGACCGCGCAGGTAGATGCGCACGTAGCCGCCGTCACACCTGGGGAAGACGAGGGGTGAGCTCGTGTACTGACCGCGCAGGTAGATGCGCACGTAGCCGCCGTCACACCTGAGGAAGACGAGGGGGTGAGCTCGTGTCCTGACCGCGCAGATAGATGCGCACGTAGCCGCCGTCACACCTGGGGAAGACGAGGGGGTGAGCTCGTGTCCTGACCTGTCAGGTACACGGTCGCACCTGACCAAGACGGCATGGGGACAGTCACGTGGGTGTGTTGTATTCGTATTTCGTAATGAGATGGTCCTTTAGATCGTTATTATAGCTGTGAGCAAGACTGGCCAGCAGAAGGACGTGGCAGGGGATGTGGGGTAAGGTGAGAGTATCATGAAACTTTCAGAAAGTGGCTGACATCCTGTTCTGATGTGCATTTGTTTATCTCATTTTGTTTTATCTCATTTCATTTTGTTTATCTCGGCGTTCTTATCCCTGTCTTAACCCGTGTCTAGCCGCAGTGGTCTTACTACCTCTTGTTTTACCACGGCGCCCTTACCACTTGTCTTACTGCAGCGCTCTGACCCCTTGTCTTACCGCGGTGCCCTTACCCCTTGTCTTACTGCGGCGCGTCCTTACCCCTTGTCTTACCGCAGCACCCTTACCCCTTGTCTTATCGCGGCGCGTCCTTACCCCTTGTCTTACCGCGGTGCCCTTACCCCTTGTCTTACCGCGGCGCTCTTACTTCTTGTCTTACCGCGGTGCCCTTACCCCTTATCTTACCGCAGCGCCCTTACCCCTTGTCTTACCGCAGCACCCTTACCTCTTGTCTTATCGCGGCGCGTCCTTACCCCTTGTCGGTGTCGGAGTCGTACTCGGCGATTGTGGTGCCTGTCTGCAGCGCCTCTCCGGGGACGTCGAACATGTCGAACATCAGCAGCACCCGCTCCAGGTTCTGAGAGTCCTGACGACCGGGGAGGTCACCCGGTCAGCATGGCAGCCAGTGACCCTGGCTCTATCCTGAGACCCGGCAGCCTATACCTAAACTTCCCATTTGTTTAATGAAGCTAATCGAGTTAATCAATAATCATTAATATATGCTAAATCATCAAAAACGACAATCAAGTATCACGAAATAAGCAATCCTGCTTAAAAACATGTTTTGGATACCAAATAGCATAAGAGTAGTTGTTTTCACCACGGGCTATCTGGCGAATGCACCTAATTTGACCAAATCTGCACTAAATCTCTTAGGTCGTTCAATAAGTAACGAACAATCGGTCATAACTTCTTTATTTCTTTATTTAACACTTTCAAACTTTCACAGATTATAGATCAGACATTTCTGAATGCAGCCTATGCCTCAAACCAGCCGCCGCCCGCCTGCACACACTTCTCCCAGCGTTCCGGCCAACGCCGGAATTCCGCCCGGAAAAACGCGTTTTCCGTCTTTTTCACCCAGTTCATGACAGCGCACATGACTTCAGCGTCGGTCTCGAAGTGTTCACCATGGAGGCCATCCTTCAGGGGACCAAAGAGGTGAAAATCTGAAGGAGCCAGGTCCGGACTGTAGGGCGGCTGGGGCTTAATATTCAGCCCTGTCACGCGATCTCCTCGCGCGTGGCGTGAGACAAGTGCGGTCGGGCGTTGTCACGGTGTATGGTGATGTTGTTGACATCCGAGCCGCGCCTCTTCTTCAGTATTGCTTTTCTCAGTCTCCTGCAGGACTGTGATGTAGCGGCCCGCTGTCCATAGTCCGCCCAGGTTCAAGAAAGCCCACCAGGATGACACCATGACAACGCTCGTCCGCATATGTCTCACGCCACACGCGAGGAGATCGCGAGACAGGGCTGAATATCATGCCCCAGACGCCCTACAGTCCGAACCTGGCTCCTTCAGATTTTCATCTCTGGCCCCTGAAGGATGGCCTCCGTGGTGAACACTTCGAGACCGACGCTGAAGTCAAGTGCGTTGTCAAGAACTGGGTGAAAAAGACGGAAAACGCGTTTTTCCGGGCGGAATTCCGGCGTTGGCCGGAACGCTGGGAGAAGTGTGTGCAGGTGGGCGGCGACTGGTTTGAGGCAAAGGCTATATTCAGAAACATTTGATCTATAATCTGTGAAAGTTTGAAAGTGTTAAATAAAGAAATAAAGAAGTTATGACCGATTGTTCGTTACTTATTGAACGACCTAATATAACGCATATCTTCATGTCCTGAATTTATTTCAGTGTTTTAATCGAAAATGATGCCTGATTATTTGAAAAATGAGACATATAAGCGTTTGCGCAACCCAAATTGATAACTTTGAAGAAACATAATGAACCTAATTTGACCAAATCTGCACCAAATGTGCAACTTATCTACACGAAATGTGTGCCAGATGGCCGTCATCAAAACGGCTACAGTGAACCTAATTTGACCAAATCCGTTCCAAATATGCACCTAATCTACACCAAATGTGTGCCAGATGGCCGTCGTCAAAACGGCTAGCATGGACCATCGATATATGAATATCAAAAATTGGTGTTCAATTCACATCCCTTTATTGAACGCTAAGTGCTTACCTTCATTCCGTATATGAAGTACTTGCAGACAATATTCTGAAGATACGGAAATGGATAATTTGGAGAGTACACCATGCCTGACGACTCTCTCTTGCTCAGAATCCTCTGGTCACACTCTGTTCCGCGTATGTGCTGGCCAGTGATAAAATCTGAAACAACAATTACAGCGAATCAAGTTGTAAACTTAACAGCCAGAGGACATTCTGAAAATCTCAACTTACAGGCAACACAGAACGGCTGATACTGCATAAACCGGCATTTTTGCACAATAACCTTTTTGGTATTGGTATTCTCGGACAATATTCCTTTTGCCTCCTCGATGCAGTTGGACGCTAAATATACCACGGTATCACTAGCAAACGAAACAGCATCTCCGTAAGCTCCTGGATATCCTAAAAAGCCTTCGTTTACAATAGTAATTGCTCTTGCTTTTCTCTTGATATACATGATTGCCAGTGTACTTTACGCTTTTCCAGCACACCAGCAAACAGTCCCCAGCTCCATTGTCTTTCCGGATAACTGACCGAGGTTGACGAAGCTCTCGCTGAACTCGTAGATGCCACTGAAGCCGCGTTTCTCCGGGTTGGGCGTCCTCTGGATGGTGACAAAGGTCATCAGCAGCTGATGGCCGGTGGAGTATTTGACCAGGTTCCGCTCAGGTCGGCAGAAAGTGCCGATCAGTGGGGCAGACTGGTTGGCTCCGTCGTAGATGCGCACAAAGTCGAACGGGCAGCTGGAACAAGTTACGAGGGAGGGGCGGTTAGTGGTCGAGGAGCGATGCCTATAGGTGTAGAGGAGCACTGATTAGTCGGAGGTAATGAGGTACTGAGAGCGCAGACAGACATATAAGGCGGCTATACCACAACCTTCACCAAAAAAAAAAAAAAAACCGGTGATGGGTGTCCTCTCAGTAACTACTCCCATTTCAGCCACATACTGCCACCGTATACGAACAATGTCATCGACCCGCCCTGAAATCAGTTAACCCAGCCCAGCTAGACTCCGCTAGTTGATGCACCCCCAGAGTCTCTACTCACTGATGGCCGCCCATGAAGAGGTCAAAGTCTCTGAACTCGAGTCGTATCCGCTGGCCGGGTTTTCCCACAAAGCGGTACTCGCAGTTCAGACCTGAAAAGATATGAGAACGTTCCTGTTACCCTGGCCTCGTTGAATAAAAACATTCCGCCCTGCGAATTTTCATTTCACTCTTTGGATTCGCCCTGCATACAATGCTAAAGCTTCTCCATGTACTTCTTTGATACGATCAACAACGGTGGAACATCTGCACAATTGCTTATATCGTTCAGTTTAATACAAATCGACGTTACCTACATTTATCATGCAAGTCATTTCAGTCTTACCCTTTGGGTACACTCCTGGGTAGGTGGGCGACACCAGAAGCCCCTTCCGCTTCTGATTGCTGTGGTTTATCTCGAAGCTGCATGGACTGCCCGGGATGGGTGTGCCGAGCTCATATTTTGCTGAAACGTCCATGAGAAAATCAATTAGATGTCTATGAGGAGCTACACCAAGTATGCTGCAAGTTACAGGCAGACTATCAGGCATTGGAGAATGAAAGGGACAGAGACAGAGAGAGGGGGAGAAAGAAAGAGAGATAGAGTTAGAGAGAGAGAGAAAAAGGAGAGAAAAGAGAGAGAGAAGGAGAAAGATCACGGGGACGAGAGCAAGATAGAGAAATGGAGAGATGGAGAAAGAGCAACAAAAGACAAAGAGAAGGAGAGAGACAACAGAGAGACGAGAGCAAGATGGAGGGATGGATAGAGCAGAAAGAGAGATGGAGAAAGAGGAATAAAAAGACAGAGAGAAGGGGAGAGACAAATAGAGACGAGAGTGAGAGTGACAGTGAGAGTGAGAGCAATGGATTGAACTCACTTCGCCGTTGTCGTAATTATTGTATCTCACTAGCCTGCTTGCAATGCTCTCACTGTCACCATGGCTGCTCTACCGCTCCTCCTCGCTCTACCTTCCTTATGAAGCAGAGCATCATTACAGTGGTGGAGTGTGGATGGCGTTGGAAGTCCTCCCCTAAGCCTCTGAATCTCCTCTAACCTAGATAAGGTCAACAGGCTGAGGCAGGCTGTCTAATGTCTCGCGCTGAAGAAGTACTGCCCCGTTCTTCACGGCGAGATGGTATTACCTACCATCCAATCCGTCAGTGCATGGTTCGGATTATAGGTGTTCGGGGCTGAGAAACTTGCCGGATCTGTGTGGCTTAGTACTTTATAAAGAATGGGTTAACCCGGCAGGCGGTGGGCCTCCCGGCCATCTTCCGCGCGGTGGGGGGGGGGGGGGGCATTTTTTTGCCCCCCCCCGTATCTCCGAAACTACTGGACGGATCCGGAAAATTCAAACGGCGTTTGATAGCCCTGTCAAATTTGTCGAAGGAAACCAAATTTCATTGACCTGGGGGTCACCGATGACGTCACAGGTCAGGTCAAAGATAAAATGTTTCACCGTTTACGGGGCTTCAAGGGAAAGCGCTATAACACCGAGTAAAACGCATTTTGTCGAAAATCAGCGACAGGGCGTCAGTTGTCTAGTACATATGTTGCTATTAGAGGTCAATGGTCATACCAGGTCATGTCACAGTTCAGGTCACCAAAGGTCACCAAGGGTCACCACATGAACCCAACTTTACTATGGTTGTGCGATGCCTGTTTTATGGCCAGTTTTTCATTTCCAACTCAATAGTGTTGGTTATAAGACCATCAGGTACGGTTTAGGTCACTTTCTGGTGGAGGTCAGGTCAAGGTCAGGTCAAAAAAGGTCAAATTTCAAAGTTGATATTTTTGGATAAAATGGGTATCGATTCGATGCAGCTCGTCACGGGGAGTCTAATGGTGGTCTTTGTTTTGCGCTACGAGGTCTAGAATTGCTACAAATTGAGTTTGAAAATTTGGCGTCATCAATTTTGAACAGTTTTTTCGCTATAACTTGGCCAAAAAAGAGGTATTGATCTCAAATTTGGTATGTAGATAGAAGGTGGTAGGAATTAGCACATGTATTCCGTTTTTTTTTCGAAATTCAAAAAACTTTTTGGATTTTTCGGCTATTATATTCAAAAAATCTATTTTTAATTTTTGGGGGTCAAAATCCAAAAAAATCGAAAAACCGAAATATCAGGTTTGTAGCCCTCTTCATTCTACACCTCTTATGTCTGAAACATTTTTCTGTATCTCTAAAGCTAAAGGCCTGACAGCTCTTCCCGCGAAACCTTTTTTTGGGCCGAAAATGGCAAAAATGACGTCACTCTGACGTCACTAGCGGCCAACGTATCATAGCCTTTGGAAAAATGTTTGGTCACCATGTGCGCTAGCTACTCCCGGGAGGGTACTGAAAGTTTGGTGACGATCGGCGCAGCGGTTCTCCAGATATATCGAAAAAAACTAAAGGGGGGGCAAAAAATGCCCCCCCCCCCCACCGCCTGGAAGGTTAAGGACATATTTATAACATATGTTTTCATGCAAACGTTTTCCTAGTTCAATGCAAATGTTGCTGAAATATATGTTAAAAAAAAACTCTTGCCTAGCTGTCTTGAGCCAGATGTTGTCGATCGTGAATGGACAGGGTTAAATGGTCTATAAAATAACTTGGAAATCAATTTCGATTTACTGCCTTTTTGTTGGAAATGCAACGGTGTTGCATATTGTGAGCGAAAAAGCAAACGTCCAGCAAATGCTTCTTGAAACAAATGAAACAAAGTAAGCAAATTAGTGCTGCCCTGGAGCTGAAAGGCGACTACTTTGTAAGCAAGTATCAATTTAAAGGCGTTATTTATTACATAACAACTATGTGCAAAGTGAAACACCATCGCTCAAGCACGGATGATGCAGTGTCGCCATTCATAGAAGTCAGTCATACAGGTCGTAAACATAAATTCCGACATAAAGTCTGACATTATTTGCATGAAAGTGATAAGTGGGTTCAGTGACCCGTCGCCTGATCTATGCGAATAAAGCCCGGGACTGGACATAATGTTTTTGATGTTGTCCGGACACCAAGTGCAGCTCCACGGCTAGGGCGCGACGGTCAAGGAGCCTTGCTGTGGCCTTGGCATTTGAACGTAAACATGGGAGTAGGAACCTCACGAAAAGTGTGGGGGTGGGGCAGTGAAACTTAACCCGCGCCCCACTGGGGGGGGCTATTTATAGCCCCCCTCCCGTTTTTCTGCAATAACTTCCAAACCGCTTGACGTATCGACGCCAAACTTTCAGTACCTTCGGCTGCATCAATTTGACACCTTGTGTCAAAATTTGAACTTCGTAGCTACCATAGGTCGGCCGGAAATGACGTCAGAGTGACGTCATGTTCGTCCGATTTCGACGCAAAACATTGAACCACGGCAATCGCTCCCAAGAGCTCAGTTTTTAAGCTAGATCCAATTTCTTTGCATGAAAGGACTCAAAATTGACCGCGCTATCAAACTGCTGTCTCGGATTTTAATTTCGAAAATTTTATATCATAATATTCAAAATTTATATTTTTATATTTTTTTTCAAAAAGTTTTTGACTTTTCGAAAAAACCGGAATATATGTGACAGAACACATGATTATGACTAACTCTAACAAGTTTTAGCTAAATATCTTCAAAAATGGCCAAGTTATACGCATTATTGCAAAAAATTCACAATTATTAATTTTTCAAATCACTTTTTCAGTACGTATTTGACATCGTACACCAATATAAATGGCACCATCGTGTTCCTGAGCTCAAACTGCATCCAATAGACACCTTTTTTGTTGAAAAAATTATAACTTCAAAATTTGACCTTTTTTGACCTGAAAGTGACCTGACCTAAGCTAAATTCGACTCAAAATGACCTCGAATGACACAGACGACATCAAATTCGAAATCTATGGCCTAAATGGACCATGAAAAATGTGTCACGTGACCGACACATGATATAATATTTTCGTGACCTGTGATGACCTGACCCTGACCTGAAAATCAAAGTACAAGTTTGGTACCCTCAAGGTATCTAGAGCATCTGTTCACGAGTGTGGAAACCAAAAATGAGCCTGATCTGACTTGTAAGACGGCGGCCAGAGCCCAAAATGTGAACAAGCCAAAGTGCTAATAATTTTTACTTTGACCTGACCTGTGACGTCATCGGTGACCTCGAGGTCAATGAAATTAGGTTTCGCTCGACAGTTTTTCCGGGGCTATCAGACGCCGTTTGAATTTTGACGATCGGCCCAGTAGTTTCGGAGTTAGGAGGGGGGGCTATGAATAGCCCCCCCCAGTAGGGCGTGTTATACACAGACCCCAGTGGGGCGCGGGTTAAACGTCACTTTGTGGGAGCCCCAATAGGTACCCCTATGAAGAAATTCTTTGCAGTTTTGTGCTCATCTCACCCTGCTGAACCAGTTCCTGCTCTTAGCATTTAAAAAATAAACATTGTACTTAAAAAAATGGCTGGAAAGTGGGGACCATTGCCCCCCCCCCCTGTTCCTACGCCTATGAACATAAATATTGGTTAGTTTTATCAGCAGGGTTCACGATGTATTTTTTCACGACGTTTGTCGTTCACGACGTTGATGAACTGGTACGCCCCACTCACAACTCACAGGCGTTGATGAACTGGTACGCCCAACTCACAGGCGTTGATGAACTGGTACGCCCAACTCACAGGCGTTGATGAACTGGTAGGTGCCGTAGAAGAGCTCGCCGTCTGTCTCTGCCTGGTCAGTGTAGAAGCCGAGCACCAGGCTGTTGTAGAGGCTGATCCGGGCGCGGGGGGCGATCATGCCACAGAACCTGCCGCCGAACGGCGTCTCCAGCAGGTCCTCGTCGGGCCGACGCAGCTCGGAGAACACGTCCAGGTACTCGTGCTGGCAGCTGCATAAAGAAGGGGAAGACGGTGCCGGCGAGTGTTGAACAGGCGCCTATAATGTAGGCCGGTAAGGGCCGAACAGGGAACGTGAAATGGAATGTGAGTGAAGATAATTTACATCTCGTGTAACTTCCCAATGCTAAAGAGACATAACGCCCGTGTGAATGTGCCTTGGAGAATCGAGTCTGAATTGTGCATACATCAAGATACGTTCACAGATATTGTATGTATAATGCATAAAATTGTCCATGGTTTCAGCGTAATTTTCTACCCAGAGCAGTATGAGGCATGCAGAAAACGGTGCGTATTATTAATGCCTATTATTTAACACAATTAAAAGAGTGTTGACAAGTTTGAATTATTTTTACTAATAACTTCCACACTTAAGTAGTACCTATTTATAATTCAGCTGAACTAAGGAATACAGCTCAACTGTGTCATACATTCCCCTATCCCTATTCCTCATTACCCTATGCAACTACATAGGGTAAGGTTACTATCATGCACTCCTTACTCTGGATAGGTGCCTCGAAGTCGCATCAGACGAAACGATATTTTCACTCTCTGGTGAGGCTGTGCGATGAATTTGAGCAGGCACTGGCGCGAGTGACCCAGGGGGTTGTGCAGAGTGGGCGCCTCGAACGGCGCCGGCTCGTCCTGGTCCTCGCGGCTCACATACACCCTGTCACACTCTGGGGACACACAGACATACAGACGGCTGGCACACAACGCCCCGTTGACGAGTCCAAAGTGGAGCTGTCGATGCTAAGAGGGCAGTTCTGAAATTTCAGCACATAAATTTTGTATGATTGAGTGGTGCTTGCTAAAATCAGTTCAAGCATTAACAAAATGATGGTTCTGAGGCCAGTGTTACCAACAGAAAAATCGCCTGCTGTAGTTATTTTTAGACCTTGGATTCTCCCAAACTTTCACCAGCCACTTGACAAAATGCACTGATATCAAAAATATAAGTTAGGCTGACTGACATTTTTACTTATTTGAAATTGTTTTAACGGACTTTCACTGGGTAGTGGGTAAAAGTTATTATTGGTCCCGGTACTCCGACTTGTATTGAAAAGTCTTCGATGGGGCACACATAGGTTTAAAAAAAAACTGAAATTTGAGTTTACAGTTTGACTGTTAAATGCTTGTTTTGGGGGAAGGGGAGGGTCATATTACCCCTTTGCGCCGTCCATGATGGTTCAATAGCTAGTGTCAGCGAGGATTAACTGAACACTAAAATCCACATTTATGGATGAAACTCAAACTTGCAAGTCGTATTTTCAAAATGAAATTCAAGACGTTTATCCACAACACGCGATACCCTCTGGCAACACAGACCAAGCGGATGCCAAAAAAGCATTTACTTACAGAAGGCAGCGCATACTCTGATATAAATTTTGCTAATAAAGCGCAATTATAAGCAGAATGAATGAGCAAAAGAAATTATACATTAGCAATTTAAAGTACAGGCTAACAAGCCACCCAAATGACGCACACGCTTTGATAGCCGTTTATTAATTTTATGTTCTAAGCTTTACACATTGTAATGGACAGCATCTGGTTAGAAGAGCGGCCCAATTTAATACCCTCAGGGCACATTAATCAACCTCGCCTCAGAAATATGGGTACAACCTATCACTGCAGTGCAATTACAGTACGTCGCAGGTAAGGAACTTCGTTATGAAGTGTCATTTCTCTGGCTGTTTGGCCTCTCCTGATGTAGTTGTGATGTGACCATATTCTAGTACATGTTAGTTCATTTGAGTGGAAGGTTTATGAGACACTATTCAAGTGTCAATAGTGCGACACATTCGTAGTAAAAATAACTTTCCTCATCTTAATGGAACTTTTAAATCGTTCAGGCGACATATTTCAAATATTGTATGGCTGCTTCTTGCCCAAGCGGGAATAACTTACGCGTTGACATCAACTTCAACGACTTTACTGATACAAGAAATGTTTCATTGGCCGCATACCAAGGGGAGGGTTTAGCAATCACGTTGGTGCAGCCTCTGATGCTATTCGCACGATTGCTTGGAACTTTTTTTCAGTTTCCTTTCAATCAATGCAACGAAAACGAACATAAACAACATGAGCTGCCTATAAGCAGAATTGTAACGAATGTTTCCTTTAGTATCCATTATGTTTGGATGGACACCTTATCACGCATTCACGCTTGCAACATTTATCTACATGTATTTCATGTGTTCACACACAAACTTGCCACATATTGACAATACAAACACCCATGCAAGGAACGGAGAAAATGACATGCTTAGAAGAGAAGGTGATCAGTTCAGCTCCTACCTCCGGTAATCCGCCGATAGCCATTGGCTTGAGCAGGACATTTTGCATCAATGAATCGCTACAGTATTTCCCAGTGTGGGGCCCACTAAAGTCTTACTGATAGGATGTGCTGAAACTACATATGATATACAGGCATATCGAGAGGGAAAAACAAAATTTTCATCTGAGCTATGCTCAAAATTTAGCTAAACACATGAGATTGAAGGCGTATAATTGATATTTTGTGCTGTTTATGCAGGTATAAGCAAAAGAAAAGAATGCAAATGTGGAGATGCGCTTGGAGACTGGAGAGTCGATCTAAAAAGTGAGTTCATAATAATGGCAGATGGTAAGTGACAGGCCATCATAGAATAACCATCTAACTACTACGTAATGTAATCGCTGAGGGCTATTTAAGTGTACCAAAAGTAGTAAATACATAAGGGTCAGCCAACCAATGCCCACCTACAATAGAATTCAAGAAGGTTTTTGCAAGGACAAAGCAAAAGTTGAAGGTAGATAGCATGTGCTACAAGAATAAATTATTAGCATTGTAGACCTCAGTCATCAGATTGTAACGAGGACGAATGTGATAATCTAAAACACTCAGACTGATTCAAGGCTCATCTCCTGATGTAGTTAGGTAATGCTAGTCCTTTCATAATGCCGGACTCTTGCTCAAAAAGGCCATCATCGTTTCAGCACAAGTGACCAAAATTATATACATTATACATTCGTCCATCACATCGGTAAGACTGAGCGTCTATCTAGCTATACGAAGGGTGTACCAACACTATATAGAGGACAAAGTGAGCAGTGTGCCACGGCGTCACCTACTTGCTCCTGATAGCGGCACAAAAGGTCGATCGGGGTCACCCTCCGGCCCTGGGCCGTCCGAGTCTGCTCCCGCCGCAGCGTCGACTGAAAGTCCGGCAGAGGTCAGCGCGGGGAGAGTCAAAGGTCAAACCAGGGGCGCGCACAGGGCGGCGGCAGAGGGGGGTTCCCGAGACACAGCAAACAGCACACACCCCACTCACCACCACCAAAAACTTACAGTGGCCAGCATTGGTAGAGGTGATGCGGAAAACGGTTAGCGTAGTTTGGGGGTTGGCGTTATTAAAAATCGTGAATAGTAACACGAGGTATTACGTAATAAGTATGTCAGTCTGTCTGTGAGTTATGACCATTATTGATTTTTTTTTTGGAAATGGACAGACAATGTTTGAACGGTGAATTTTAGTCGTCATGTCATTTTTTTTTTTGCTTTCGTTACTTTTTCCTTTTTAAGTGTAAAAATAGAACGTCTATTTACTACCAAACTGCGGTTCGTTCATCCCACAATTATCTCATTTGTAGCGTGATCAGTTGATATGTATGCAAGTCCATTAGGAGTCAACTTGCTAATGTTGCGTCACCGCTGCATTCTGTGAATAATATGTACAATACTTTATTGCCTGATTGTAGGTACGTCTCATGCATTTCTATATGCACGTGTAATGCAACTGTCTAGTAATGATTTACATGTAAGCATGTATTTCTTGCAAGAGAGTTAATGATTGCAGTTTAGATTGCTTCATCGTAATGCATGCTTCAATCGTAAGGTGTGCGAAATTGACCTCTAGATAACCTCGCGTCTTTTATATTTGAAAAATAGGAAGCGCAAATATGCATTGATTTATCGAAACAATCTTCATGACAGTAAATTGCGTTTGAATTGTGCCTATAGCTTAACGGTCTCCCTATGCCCAAAAGTCAACATTGCCCAACAAAGTGAGCTCGTTTGGCCAGCAGCTTCTCTCCCCAAAGAGGAAGCCATTCCATCTCGGTCTAATCTCGTGTCAAAAGCGCAATCGGTGATGCCCCTTGCATTACAACAGTCCTTTGTTAGGCAGACCAAGACCTTCTGAGGCAGACACTATCTAAAAGAGCAGCATTTGTGGCGACTGGTGACGCAACCCACCGTCCGCGAAATGGGTTGGAGCCTTGGTGGTCTTAAGCAGAATGAAGCCCGTAAACGATGGGGTTACTACGTGCTTATAATGCCAAATATGTGCACTGAGCTGCATAAGATCCCGAGTGTTTTATGCAGTTATGGAAGAGGTGAATTAGCGTTAGCAGCTTACGGCAAGCAATAAGCAAGCATGACGCTGCGCGTATGCTCTGGCGGATTCAGACAGGTGGCCTTCAGACACCACGGGGAAGGTAGTGCAAAAATGTCCTAACCAAAAATGCATTGATATGTCCCCCACCCCCCTCCTGAGTGGAACCGGCAGTTACTATATAATAGGTGAGGTTATGTAAAGGTATGTCGAAACTGCTGCGCATGCTTACAGTTTTGAATGTTTCCTTGCTCGCTTTACTTCCATAAAAATTTACCTTTGCAAGCATGAAAAACAATAATAAAAATTGATTGTAAGCAGTGCTGCAGAAAAATGCTACTCCCTGCAAACAGGATTTATGTCGGTCATGGTGAACATCTAAAGCCGTAGATCACATTGTTTGGCCTTTGTATTGTAATTGAATAAGTAATTGTACATCCTAATCAGCAAACCGTTTTAGTGCTACACATATACAGTGTTCTAGGCTCTAACAACGTGTAGTGTTATTGTCTATTCAAAATACACATGTCAAGCTAGATACATGTCATTCACGTTTCACTCTATGAAAAAGATGTGTGTGACTTTTTGTCATGTTTTGGCTTAACTACCACAGGGGCGCAGCCAGGCAATTACTGCCACCAAAACCAGTGTAAAGACAGTGTTTTACTCTGCACGGATAGTGATGGATCTTAGTTTTTCGGAGGGCATTTTAATAGCGGATTTAAACCAGAAATTTGTATATGTCGCTTTGCGAGGAGCAGCCGACAAGGCTGCCATTAGGTGCACATAAAGTTAAAAGAGGATTAAAGATTGGTTTGAGTACAAAATGTTGAGAACCCTTTGAGAAGCATAATTAATAGGATAGAGAATTGATGTGCAATGTTCCGAAAGGCAAATATTTTTTTAGCAATGCGGCCTCAAAAACGTCTTCATCTTAACTTCTCCCACCGAAAATACTGATCCATTACGATCCTCATTTTCCACAAACCGACCTCTCTCCACCGCGCCGGGGCAGCGTCCGACCCCCGGCGGCGCGGTGCCTGGCTGCGCCCCTGGCCGCGCATGCAGGCCCCTTACCGCGCGCCGGTGTGCAGTGAGAGCAAGGCGGCTCGCTAGGCTCGTCGTCGCATGCATCGTCGTCGTCGACGATCGGCTGCTCACCTTGCGCCGCCGACCTGCCGACGGCCAGCAGGAGGGCGAGCAGCGCCCAGCCGAGCGCCCGCATCGCGGCCAGAGCGCACCTGGGAACGGCGAGGGGTAATTACCTAGTGTATTGTACTTATTGTGCATACTGCTCTGTTCGAGAGAAGGTAATAACAGAGTGATCCTAATAGTCCTAATGCTCAGGTTATCATTAGAGTGTTATCTTTCCTCTAATAAATCATCTGGACATGTCTTATGTTGAAGCAGCATTTGGCTAGCCTTAAAACCTTACATAGGTCGGGTTAATGACATATTCGATTCATAAGTGCGGAGATGAAAAGGTACCGTGTTGCACAAGAGTAAGAGGTGGGGAGAGGCCCATATCAGCGGAAAATAGTGTCCGGTGATAGATCGCCCGTGCTGAAAAACAATCTGTAAAGTTTTCCTACTTAACCGCACCGTAATTGAATGTCCTGAGGGTTAGAAAAATGCACTGATTGGTTGTTGAATAATTAAGGTTGCTGTTGATTTAGAGCTTGCCGTCCGTGAGGTCCACCCACTTCACAAAAAGATCCTAGAAGATTATCTGGGCGAGTGTCAGGTGAAATATTCTCCATTTCGCAATCATTTAGGATCCACAAACAGTAGTATTTCCAAAACTCGCAAGGAAGTCCATTATCAATTGTGGATTTAATCGACAACTCATGTATTCTTCCGTGATTGCCAAGTATTTAACCACAAACATGCGACGAAAACTGTTTTATAAGTTACGTACATCAGATTACGATCTCAGCCGCCAGTCATATGAAATGGGAACGAAAAATGATCCCCAGAGGTGAATAAAACGCAAAAGCTGTCACCTACGCGATGTCTAGCTGTCACCAACAGTAATCTTGAAACAGAAGGTACTTTTTGACGTTTTCTCATCACCCTTTTAGGCCTAGAAATGAAAATGAGGCTAGAATGAAAAGAAACTGACCTTTAAAATTTCGGACTCTGGGCATCACAACGCATCACCACATTTCAGTGACACAGTACAACAAAAATAAATCACTACCATCCAACTTACCTAAACCTAGGTCTGACCGACGTCCTAGCTCGTCCTGGCTTCCTGATCCAGTTCAATCAGAACTCACGAAAGAATTGTCAGTTGTCACTGATTCACTTGCCTTTGCTTCACTAGTCGGAACCAATTATCAACGCTCCAACCAAGTTTCTGGGACCGATGGTCATGGATCTCACCCCAGTTGTGGCCCAGATGTGACGTCCCCCGTCCCAGTCGCCCGGTCCTTCCCTACTCCGGCGGCGGCCAAGGCCGCGCCGGTCCCCGCCACCGTTCAACCGGCGACGAGCGGGGACGAGCTGTCGCGCTGTCGCCGTTTTTCCTGCGTTGTCTATGGGGTAGGCAGACAACTGAACCAGTGACAACTGAACCAGGGACAACTGAACCAGTAAAACTGAACCAGGGACAACTGAACCAGTGACAACTGAGCCAGTGACAACTGAACCAGCGACAACTGAACCAGCGACAACTGAACCAGCGACAACTGAACCAGTGACAACTGAACCAGGGACAACTGAACCAGTGACAACTGAACCAGTGGACAACTGAACCAGTGGACAACTGAACCAGTGGACAACTGAACCAGTAGACAACTGAACCAGTGACAACTGAGTCAGTGACAACTGAACCAGTGACAACTGAACCAGTATGACAACTGAACCAGTGACAACTGAACCAGTGACAACTGAACCAGTGACAACTGAACCAGTGACAACTGAACCAGTGACAACTGAACCAGTGTCCAGTGGACAACTGAACCAGTATGGCAACTGAACCAGTGGACGACCAAACCAGTGGACAGGACAACTGAGCCAGCAGACAACTGAGCCAGCGGACAACTGAACCAGTGGACAACTGAACCAGTGGACAACTAATGTCGTACTGCGCTGTATAGGTATAAGGTAGCGGGTGGCTGGACGGACGGTCTGTGCCAATCTGCCGGTCTGCCAATTGATCTGTGTCCGATCTATTAGAGTGTCCGTCCCAGAGCCGTACGACGGCTGACAGGGCTGACAGCTAGCCTGGTGGTCGCGAACTGGTGTGGCAACCGTTACGCCCACCTGGGACGCCCGAATAGTTAGCAACGTATAAATGATATTCACTTTGATGGCCTAACTCGGGACAGACAGGGCACGCAACGTGGGCTTGGCAGAGTTCAGCCCGCCTGGGCCCAGAGGAATCTCCGGTATATAAATGGATTCACTGCTCGGGCTTACATCCATCGGGCTTACGCCAAACGTCGCACAACTAGGGCTAAACAACGGCTGTCCTGAGCTCGCCGAGAGGCCCAGAGGGCATACCTCCGGCAGAGCATGGGTTTTAGTCGGCGTTTTTGTGTCATACGCCGACTTTAGTCTTTAGCACAAGCGCTAGCCGACTTTAGTCCAAGCGCTAGCCGACTTTAGCTCGACTAAAAATCTCGGGCAAGCCGCACTTCAGCTTGCTTGGGCCCGGAGTAAAATTGCTTGCTGGGCTACTGGTTAGTGGTTCAGTTGTCACTGGTTCAGTTGTCCACTGGTTCAGTTGTCCACTGGTTCAGTTGTCCACTGGTTCAGTTATCACTGGTTCAGTTGTCACTGGTTCAGTTGTCACTGGTTCAGTTGTCACTGGTTCAGTTGTCACTGGTTCAGTTGTCCGCTGGTTCAGTTGTCCGCTGGTTCAGTTGTCCACTGGTTCAGTTGTCTACTGGTTCAGTTGTCTACTGGTTCATTTGTCACTGGTTCAGTTGTCACTGGTTCAGTTGTCACTAGTTCAGTTGTCACTGGTTCAGTTGTCCCTGGTTCAGTTGTCCCTGGTTCAGTTGTCACTTGTTCAGTTGTCCCTGGTTCAGCTGTCACTGGTTCAGTTGTCCCTGGTTCAGTTGTCACTGGTTCAGTTGTCCTGGTTCAGTTGTCACTGGTTCAGTTGTCATGGAACCGTCTATGGCGCTTCACAACGCACCGGCTGTCGCACCGGCGGTATTTTCAGCCCCAGCTGTCTACAAAGAGATGACGCTGTTAAATTTTTGTGCCGTGGTCCATAGTGGCCCTCTATGGGAAGACAGCTCTGATTTTAGCGGGAACGGACTAGTTATCTATTTTAAATGCAACAACTGAGATGCTCGAATCTGTCTCTTTATTCCTATGGCTGTCACCTACGCACGCAGGCGAGTAGCAGGGTTTTTTCACCTCTGATGATCCCGCTAAATGATACGACGCAACGTTTCTACCAGCGTGTCCTTTCTGCAAGATCCAAACACAAAGTACTTCCTACTTAAAAAAAACTATGAAACATGATGTTCGCCTTTGCTGCATTTGAAAACTTGTTCCCGGAAAACTCGACCTAGTTGGGTCGTGATCAGCAATTTCTAATTAATTTCTAATAAATAATATCCAAATCCCAAATAATTAACGTAATAAATAATATCTAATCTAATAAATAATCCCCAAGCCCCTGAATTGTCACACGACTTTGCCGCTTTTCGTCAACTACTTTGGACACCATCCGCAGAGAGTTCCTCCATTCGCCGGCACAAGTTCAGCACCTTTTCATCTCCGAGGCCCGCCACGTGACCGGGACAGCGCCGTCCCCCATCGCTCTTTCCCGCTCTGCCCGGGGATCGATGCCGAACGCCGCCGGCCGGCCGCCGCCGCCCAGTGGTTAGCGGGGCAGCGGTGGGCCGCGGGTGGCTCACTGGGGTAGACGTTATTGGCTATAGGGGAGCCCGGAGAGCGCGGGACCCATGGGGTGAGGTGGGGAGAGGAGGAGAGAAGGGGAGCGAACGTGTGTCAGAGTGAACCAGGCACAAGTTGTCGAGTGTGCGGTTTCATTGTGCAATGAATACTTACGTGTAATAGTAAACGGGTGAAATAGGTCTCTGGCAGGAACGAATATAATACGGAAAGAAGAAACGAAGGATCACCAATACTTTGTGTCGAGAAATATGTATTTTTTCTGAAAGTCATATGGCTGCATTTACTACAGGGAAGAGGACAACATGTCTTGAATGCATGTTACATAACACTCTCTTTCCTCTTTTTCTCCCCACTCTTTTTCTGAAAATGTTCCATGGACGTGCCCTACAGCTGACCACAATACCTTTCAAACAACATGATTTTCCAAAGACTCACTAAAACAATGCACAATAGCGTTGTGCACTTTGTAACTAACCTACCTATTTATATTCTCACTACTCATTGAAATTAGCTTCCCGTACTGAAGTTCAAAATGTAATCGCAAATACATTTGCCGCCAATCATCCTTAAAAATGTCTCAAGATGAGTCCTATGCATAATCATATTTAAAATTTACTTGCTTGAATTGTACTCCCTTGAGCCTTTCTACGATATGAATAAGAGGTAGATGTGTCATAAACCTTAGCATTGCATTAAATCATTCTTACCCAGACTCCTGAACCTAAATATTCCTTTTGTTTGTAGAATCCATTCCCTTTTGTCCGGCAGCGACGCTAAGAGGTGGGCTAGAAGTTGAAGCTATGTCCTGGGCTCGATGTGGCTGCTGCATTACCCACTTCACTTCGACATAACTCTATGACCATCGCGCCGTCCGAGGGTGGTGAACAGCACTGCTGCAGGGCACCGCATGCCTTCTGTGCGGCCCGCTCAATAATTTGGGGGCACCTCAGCTAGGAAATAAGCTCTGAGCACGAATAGTCTGCATGTGTCCGAGCATTGACCCCTGTACACCGAGGTATTTAAGGTCAGTGTTAACCTTTGTTTTGTTTAAAGCGCTAACCTTTGCTGTTGGACTGATCGGTGTATTTGTCAAGTTGCAATGATCATTTTATTTAAATAAAACATACACCAAATGTTGGCAATCCCATGTCTCCTTCATATTGTCCTCAATTTGGTGGAAAACACAGACAACAAAATAGCCATTTGTGCCAATACAACAAAAATATGAGACTGTTCTATAAATGCATTATTTCTAAAAGAAAGCGAATATCCGAAACTACAAGCTACTGCCATCAGCTCAATGGGGAATAAGTAACAATATAACGAATCGTGTAGTGGGCTGGCGGATGGGTGCAAGTCCCAGCGGCCGCCGGATTAAATAGCTAGAAATAATACTGTTTATGGACACAATAGCGGCCATGCAAACCAGAGCTAGCTGCGGTCGTAGTAATGCGTTTATGTAGGGGACAGTGGGGTAATTTGGCCGCTTTTTTTAGAAAACGATGTAACGAAAAATCGACAACACACTTCTGCATTTTCTCAACGCTGCCAGGTGTGGCATACATTTTACTTTCCTGGACAGTAAACTTGAAATGATAGAGTAACTACTTATATTGAAATTGTGACGGATTACAAAGGTCTGCAAAGCGGCCAAATTGCCCCACTAGCAGGGTTATTTGGCCGGGGGTGTGGGGCAATTTGGCCGGTGTTAGTTTCAGGCCATGATTTTTGTTATAGGCGAGTCAGCTTCACATTCAGCAATGACGCATGTCCTACGACGCATTTGAAGCATTTTGGAGGTTGACTCAGCGGTCACAGGGGTCGAAAATAGTCAAAATAGCGGCTTTAGATGCGATGACAGTTTTTTAAGAATAGCTTTTGAAGTAATCAAGCTAGGCCAAAACTAAAAGTACCATCGTAATTCTCTCGTCATTCCGCATCGAAACATGTATGTGTTGACCTCGAGAGGTCAAGGTCAAAGGTTGGCTTCAGGTCACGTTACCTCAGGTCGCTTGACCTCAAGGTTACGTGCGTTCAAGGTCATCATGTATATCATTCGATGCGCGTTGACGAGCTGAACACAATGAGACCATTTGCGCGGCTGTATCTTTTTTCTGTAAGTATTTATTAGCAAAAAAGCGTTAGGTAACCTTTGATGACGTCACATGCCCTTACAGCTGTCCAATAGGAAACATGGCATCAAGGTAGTCAAAGTTGGTCATGAATTATGTCCTTTATGGTATAATTGACCATGACAACTTGGCCGTCCCAGCATAGTGACTCTGAGCGCACCGGCCAAGTTGCCCCGCTAGTCCCGGCCAAATAACCCCACATTGCCATTCTGAAAATTTTTGTCTATAAAGTCGTCATGGCTGTACAGAACTAGATGAAATTGCTCTTGGAACCGCTGAACACTCTCAAGAATGGCGCTATAATGTTGGGATTCGTTTACAGCCCAAATACTACATGTTATACAAATTTTTAAACGGAAGTAAAAGTTATCATTTTCTAACGAAATTCACGTTTTATTAATTTTGAATAAAACTAAGAGGGGGAAAGTTTTGACATTTGTTCTGGAGTATGTTCTGACGATGACAAATGAATAGAGACTAAAGTTATTTCATTCACTTTTATCAGCTTTCGTACAGGTGGGGGCGGCCAATTTACACCACCGGCCAAATTACCCCACTCTCCCCTACTTTTTTTTTTACTGTTAATCCTTCTATCCTGGTTTCGAACTCGCCCACACGCTCAGACACTGAAGCAGTTCTTTGCAGACACAGCAGAGCGCAGTGCTCTCGTTGTCTCAGTCTTCTCTTTCCTTCTCTCGACACTCAGGCAGAGCGCAGTACTCTGCCTCGAGAGGCGCCAAAACAAACGGCGCCGATGCCGAGCTCTAAAAGCGCTGACGAGTCCCTTATGGTGTGGCACCAGCCAGTGCTGTTTGCTATTGGATCGCAGACTGAGATAGGGTCAGGATCGAGGGACGAACGGAGAGACAGTGAGGAGAAAGGAAGAGAAGAAGAGGTAGTGAGATGGGGGAACATTGAGACAGAAAGACGGATACAAAGAAGAGTTAGACGGGAAGCACATTTGCCGATAAACAGTGACAGAAAGTTGAGGGAAGTTGAATAGATCCTCAGCCAACACGGATAAAAATATTTACGCCTCGAAGGATTTACAAACACCTTATTTCGGAAACTACTTTTATCGGTGTTCATATACCATTAACTTTGGAGTGTTCCATGACGAGGCAGAGTAACTTAAGTATCTCACTTGATGTACCAGAGTAAATGAAGAAGCCTGGGAGTTCTCCTACTCCTCATGCATAATTATTTGGAGTATTGAAACCCGGTAAGATGGAGTTAAATGGATAAAACTCCAAAACAAGGCGAAAATCTACTCCAATATCGGTACTGTATTTGGGACGTCAGAACCCCGCCTAGCGGAGCAAATATTTTTCTCCGTGAAGGAGAGGCTGAGGTTCAAAGGAAGACGATGCCAAGACACTAAGACTAGCAACAATGACACCGAGACAGGACGAAAGACACTAAGACGGGGAGACATACGGAGAGTACGACGGAGTTAGAAGAGACAACGTCGGTTATTCAGACGCAAAGGCAGCGGAAAGCAGACGGCTGGTGTGGTCGCACAGAGCGGTGACATGATTGGCGCAGGTGGCGCGCCGTTCGAGGCAGCGCACACTTGTTCGTTTATCGCTCAAACTGCGTGAGGGGGACCAGCTGGATGGCTTTGAGGACCAGCTGGCTCGCATAGTCATCTGCTCACTACAACAACAGCGCAGCATTGAGCTCCGGCAAAATAAACATGGTGGACCGGCTCCGGCCAGTAATGCTGCCATCATTGGACATTGCCGTTAAATTGCCCATCACAGCTCTCTCCTCTCTCTCTCTCTCTCTCTCTCTCTCTCTCTCTCTCTCTCTCTCTCTCTCTCTCTCTCTCTCTCTCTCTCTCTCTCTCTCTCTCTCTCTCTCTCTCTCTCTTTCTCTCTTTCTCTCTCTCTCTCTCTCTCTCTCTCTCTCTCTCTCTCTCTCTCTCTCTCTCTCTCTCTCTCTCTCTCTCTCTCTCTCTCTCTCTCTCTCTCTCTCTCTCCCCGCTGTGCAGTGTGCACTGTACCTATAGGCATCAGCAGTCAGTACCGAGACTAACCCAGAGCCTCCATGCCTCCTCTCCTCTCTCTCTCTTCCTCCCACTCTACCCCCATAGACAGCGGTCAGAGTCATCGATTGAAGTGTCAGCGACGCTCCTCTGGACCGCTGCCCCGGCGCGCGGGATCTTTCGCAATGCTCCCGGAGGCTGCGGGTCCGGGTCAGTTACTAGACTGATGTGGCACAGCTGACCTCTGGAAAAGGTCGGCTACTGAACAAACGAAGAGGTCACCGTACAATATAAGGGCAGCATGTGGCTCGCTGGGGTATACCGCCAGGATATTTCTTTTACAATCTGACATTCTGGTTACTTTCTTCAGACATAATCAAGGAATTGCGAACGCTGTTATGACTAACCGATCCCCCATATCGCCCCCCCCCCCCCCTAGTCTCTGATCACAGAACTTTACCATTGGGCCAGATACCATATAACAATCCAATGCAAAACAATTCATCCAATACAAAATACCAGAGCATGACCATCACCGCATCCCGCAGCCACGCACAATCCTGAACAATCGTTGAGTGCGAGACCGTGTTCCCAGGGAGGAAGTAACGGTCATTTAGGGGAAGGCAGTGCCCTCCATTAATACACTGTGGTCATCATGACTAGGAAGAAAGGGTAATTCTTCGCTCCCATAAGTATTACAATGCCTTTAATTAGAACACAGGGCTCATAGTACAATGCATTTAGCACTAACTGAAAACTATGTAGCTTTGCAATTTTACCTTGCTGCTGATTTTATTTTCTTAGATTATCTCACGAATAAGTCATAGTTTTGTACATAAACCTCACAAGTGTACGAGTATAGGTATACCTACACAGTTTGATCATTATAAGCATTGTGTTTTATTTTTATTATTATTTGTATTTCATCATTTATCATTGTTTAGAATTGTATTTTGCTACTTTCAAAAAGAAAAGCTAAAACCCAAGAAAGAGTAAATTTGTCAATCTGTCGGTATCCCAAGCTCAAACGTACTGGCAATCTAAAAAGAGCTGTAAAAAATAACTCTGCATAGTAACAGATGAAATGCTTAAAGCTCATTTTATATAGTTTCCGAATCACTAAGACATAAGACGCAAAAGTTATAAAAGTTCAGCTATCTATTGCTCTTCGTGTGGGAAAGTGATGGCACTTACTTCATTTTTGATAAGAACCAAAATATTTCGCACTAATTTACACGATTTTTACGCTTCAGGAATCTTAACGTATAATTTGTTGAAGAACAACAAGAGCTTATACATATTCGGCTCTAAAGGACATCGTTTAACAAGGCTAAGCATTCTTCATCCAGTGCTCTCAATGGCTGAATGCTGTGACAAAATCGATGCTGGCTCTGCGCCAAACAAGTGTTCTACCACCTATAGCTACACGACAACCTATAGTCACCGTTCGTATAGCTAGTGGCCCATGAGGTATTATGTGTAAATGCTCTGTTGTTGCGAAAAGAGGGATAACATAACACTTACCAGGAGCAATTCCCACGTCCGGCTTGCAAAGCCCCTCTACGGGTGCACTTCTCTCTGCTCGCCACTCCTCTCGCCTCCCACTGTTTCACTCTGACCTCAGACCCTCTGCTCCCACTGACCTGATCAGGAGAGGAGGCTGGGCGGTGACCTGGGCCGGCCCAGGGGCATGTCGGCTCCGCTAGCGGTGGAGGAGGTGGTGGTGGCACGAGCACTGCGCGCCGACCGAGAGCCGACTGGCCGAGTCTCCCGTCTATCGATCCGGGCCAGAGACGGCGGCGGCAGCGGCGGCAGCTGTAGCCGGGCCGTGACGTCATGCATGGCGGCGGCGGCGGCGGCGGCGGCGGCGAGACGGAGGCAGGCAAAATAAAACGCAAAAATGGTTTTGGTCTAAAGACATTTATATCAGCCTTGTTTGATCATTGCCGAATATCCGACATAGGTATGTAGCAGGCATAATGCAGGTCTGAAAAAGTGCAACTGAATCAAACGCTTTCGCTACTTGCGCGGTAAAGATGCGCTGGGCATATGCTTTTGGGCATTTACACAACTTGTTACTAAAAAGCAGCTATTCATGTAGCTTACGCTATTCTATTCATGTTTCGTGTTTGGTTTCATTGTACACATTTGCTCTTTCTATTTATTAATGTCACTTCTATCTAAAAACATAAACTTTTCTAAATCAATTTTCATACAGCATTTTACACAGTTTGGGCGTTTGAGAAATAGACTACACGAGCGCCTAAGTGTTAACCCTCTAATGCCCACACATAGTTCCACGGTTCCTAAAATTAGCACCTTGTGACATATGATTCATTTTGGGTCCCTTGTTCGAAATCTGGAGTCAAATATTTTTTAGCAGTTCAAATTTCGGAAATAAATTTTGTATCAAATATGATACATTGGGCATTCCACTTGGTAATTTTTAGTGGTATCAGACCACACAGAAGGAAGTGAAGACAGATGAGAAAATATATATTATTAAAAATTTCAGTGATAAAAGTGGCAGTTAAAATGTGTAAAATGCCAACAAGACATCCTTTACTGTGCACTTTTTATCAGAACATTTTCTGAATAGTTCATTGGCATCCTTCTTGTATCAAAATGTCCTTTCAGTCGGTGCTTAGGGAACAACGCTAATCATAGGCATCTATTTACGAGTGCCTTCTATTCCTTCAATTTCCACGATACGGCGCGTTGCACTTGTGCAATTTTTCATAATTCAGACATGTGGGCCGTGTTTCTCTAACGTAGATGCGTTATGCATACTTGATATAGAAATGAAGACATTACAGTTGGCTCGCGGTAAGTGGTTTAAGTGAAGCAGTTCTAATGCAAAATGCTGGACAGCCTGCCGACGGACCGGAATCAATGCCAAAGACGATGTTGGTTTATCTTCATGATAGCCGGACAATCTCGGGTGACTGAAACTCTCAGCCTGTGAATCGTTTTTTTCAATTCAGATGGTTTATTTACACCAAAACAGGTACATTTAACAGCACAATAAAATGATGCGGCGAGACATTATGCACGGGTGATCCACATCAGAAGGGCGGGGCAGCGGGTCGCATGGTTGCCTACTTCTTAGATAGGAAATCAAAGGAACCACGCCCTTCGGTCCGGAGTCTGTCTTCATGGCGAGCCCGTTTAGCCAGCTTCCTCTGAAGATGACGATATAGTTTTCCACTCCACATTCAATCTCTTACTACTGGGATGAACGGAGGAGATTTGAATCGCAAACAAATGTGAGTCGTTCTCCAATATGAATGAAAAATGCTGGCTGGCTGCTAATGCAAGTCTTCAGCCATGCCCAGCTAACACATAGACCCACAAGACATAAATAAGCCCGTCCACAACCCCTGTTGGAATATCGAAATTGTGCAAGAGACCGCTGAATCCTCCTGTCCCTAACATCAAGTCTCAATTTTTGGTTTCACGAGTATAAATGCTCGCACGGATGATCGTTCCTTGAAATCAACAAGCTTGTCATCGATAGCATGTCATTCCTAACGTGGTTTTAGAAGATATGGTCTGCTAGTGTCCTGCAGATCAAAAAGTTCACTATTGTCATCGTCAAACAGTTGCAAAACCATATTCCTATGAGCGTTAGAAAAGTCGAGATGTATGAGGCATGTAAGGCCACTCATAGAAAGCTAGATGTTGGAAGATTGACAAGGATGAGAGGCGGCATAAGCGTACCAATATCGTTATGATATTTTAAGTCTGGAGCGAAATAGTTATCTGGCGCAAGAGGTGCGAACTTCACAAATTTATGCATCTTGTACCATCGTCATTTGCAATGACTCACAGGCCATTGCAATGCTTATCACCTGAGAAAACTATGGTATTGGCACACCGTATGCTGCAGCGGCGAAAATTTCATAGAAAATATTGGAGTGCTATGCCCACTGTATCATATCTAGTATCCCCAAAAATAGGGGTCCATATCTTTGACCCTGAAAAAGTTGCGATGTTTTGCAACTTACTATGATATATGTTGAACATTTGTCTCACAGTATACCAAGTTTCTTTCCAAATAACTAATTTTTTGTTTTCAAAATGCTTAAATTTACACTTGCATCTCAAATTGATTTTCGGCAAAGGACAAACTGACCCTCTTCAAAATCACCTGGTGGGAAATTGAGAAACCATTACTTAAAAATTTTGCCACCAGGTGGTTGCCAAGACGTACCACTTCTGATACAGCAGGGTTTTCAACAATTTTCACCTCTATGATTAGCAGGCGAATTTTCTGCAAATTGACTTACAGATATGATACCGGGGGCACTAGAGGGTTAAACTGCACCGCCATACGACAGAGCGCCTGAGCATTAGACTGTACCGCAACACAGCAGAACGCCTGAGCATTAGACTGTACCGCAACACAGCAGAACGCCTGAGCATTAGACTGCACCGCAATACAGCAGAATGCCTGTGCTTTAGACTGTACCGCAACACAGCAGAACGCCTGAGCATTAGACTGCACCGCAATACAGGAGAGCGCCTGAGCCTTAGATTGCACCGCAATACAGGAGCTGAACATTTGGTTGGTACGTACATACCTAAATATAAGAAAACACCTAAGCATTAGCCCGTACCACAACAGGAGAACGCCTGAGCCCTAGACTGTACCGCAATACAGCAGAGTGCCTGAGCATTAGACTGTACCGCAACATAACAGAACGCCTGAGCATTAGACTGTACCGCAATACATCAGAGGGACTGTATGACGTATCAGTATGTGCTGTGCAACGTGCGTTACGGAAAGTACAGCCCTCTGCAAACTGCGTGGTAGGTATTCTTTTTTCGACAAAAACGAGAATAACGCGAATACTATGCTATCGGTCACTCTGAAATCGTAACAGCAAGACGCGTGAGACTCCGCACCTTAGGTTGGCATCATCACCGTATTCATTTTCCGTCTAGTTCGGCAGCAAAACCCATAAGTTTATATTTGCCCCCAAAACAAACTTTTGCATTTTGTTGCCACACAAGTCGTATAGTTTGTTTAGTGATAGATCTAATCGAAGAAGTGGAGCATGGCCAGGGGCGTCGCCACGGATTTTTGAGTGGGGGGGGTCGGGTTTCCGGTCTTCGTCTTGATGGGTAGGGGTGTTTTTAGCCACACTCCCGGTTTTTTGGTGTGCCCGGAGAAAAACCTCGGCGCGCAGCGCCGCGAAAGCGGCGGTATATCTTATTGTACATCAATTTTGCATCGTGCATAAAAATCAAGCAGAGGTCACCTGAGGTCAGGTCACAATGTCATGTCAAGTTCAGTTTTAATGCCTCTTAAAACTGCAATTTTGTCATTCCTATACATAGATTATCTCCTGACTCCTATAAGTCTGAAATTTGGTGTAATGAATGGGATTATAAGTGCCAACAGTTCATGAATCTGAGATTTTACATCAGAGAAGCGAAGTCAGGTCAAATAGGTGTGTGACCTCACCAATCATGATAAGATATGGGAAAAAGCACGATGCCCTCTGCTTTGAAAGAATATGCTAAAAAAGCTAGATACTTTTGTAGCCATGGCACCTTGTTCATTTTAGATATAAGGTGCAGCTAATGACCAGTGGTGACTGAAATGGTCAGTCATTAGGTCATCAAAGGTCTCTAACACATTTTCGACAACTTTTGATGGAGACGTTGTAGAGCGATGACAGCACCTGGAGTGTGTTCAGCTCAGTAACACAGATCGATCCATATGCAGCAGGTTCTTTTCCGGTCAGGTCATGACCTTTACCTGATGTCAAGTTTTCTATTCAAGTTTTTAAGTTCAAATTGTAAGCCATGCGACGTGTTTTGACGAAACAAAAACGATGGTGATAACATGAATATCATACACATTCACTGAATCATAGGTTGTTACAGAACAAATGTTTCGGCACTATCCGTCCGTTTAGCTGTTTGGACTCTATGGTACACAAGCCATAGACCCGAAGTCATATCTGAGGCGAAGTTGGCGAAAGAGCTTTAAAAAGCTATCGAATACGCTTTCTGTGTTGCTGTAGCTCTTATTCGTATTTTGCGGGTCGCTAAGGTAAAACGTTTACCAACGTAACGCATAAGGCGTGCTTTCGGCCCCTGATCAAGGTAGAGTTTCGCGGAAGAGCGAAAATGCTGCCCGTGATGAGGGAAAGCCGATGATGCCCAATTTCAAGGTCTTGGCCGGGTCATCTTGGTCAACGCCCAAAAGTAGGAAAAATCTGTCCGCCTGCTAGAACTTAGTGAGCCGTAGCTGTTATCGGGGTCCCGAGTACGAGTTCGATGTTAGTCTTGAACAAAGATGATGACTCCATGCATTTTGGGTAGATCGGGTCGGGTCAGGTCAGGTCGACCAGCAGGCTTTCTGCCGGCCATCTAGAGTGGGTGACTGACAACCACCAACGATAGCTTCGTAACATGTTACATAACCATCATTTATCAAAACTACTTCAAACGGTTCAAACGGGCGCTAAACTCGAAATCAGCCCCAAAAACCACACTTGTAAGTGGAAGCAAATAAAACTAAAAAAAGTTAACCAAGGTCATCCATATTCGAATCAGGGCCATTTTTTAAAATAGGTGTAAAACTCATTAACTCGAGGTCACTGGAAGTTTCGTTGCAATATACTCCTTTTTGCGCGTCTTATTAGGAAAGCCCCAGAGGGATCCACCATCTGACCCCATTTTCCCTATGCAGGCAGGTCCGAGGGTAGCAGGGCTAATGCTAGCCAGGTACCTCGTAGTT